GAGAAAGAAAGGCAGTGAAACGACCCACCAGTGATTGCAGACGCAAAGTTGCAGCATCATTCCTCGGCATCGATCGCAGAATTCACACAAACCCTTCATTCTTTAGATAGCAAAGCTTATAATTCTGTCTCCTACAAGCAACACAAGCTTCATCATAGCCGTTGAGAATTAAGTCAACGGCATCAAAAAGCCCTTGTTTTTACCCTTTTTTTTTCCTGCTAAAAGAGGAGAATTAAATCTTAGAGCAAGATTTAGCTCATTAATGTCTCAAGAACTCTTTTTATCTTTTTAACTTTCCCTTTTGGTTGTTTATAAAGAACAAGTTAAGTCCTGCTTGCATTAGAAATCAAAAGTTGATGAATATTAAAGTGACAGTTTGAATTAAGCCAGAAGATGTCCCAATGGGATGATGATTGAAATTGAAAACAACTGAGATTTTGCTAGAATTATTGTGTCCTTCGAAAACGTACCTGATCAAAGCTTTATTCTCCTTTGCAAAACATGCTTTGCCCTGTAAAAAAGGGCAAGGGGTCCAATTTAAGGGCTACCGGACAGAAACTATTATTGAGTGTTATTATGTTATGTCTCTTTCTACCCACAGTGGCGCATGTGATTGATTTCTTTGCTTTGTGTAACTTTTGTTTGACTCGCGGTAAAGCGAGTTTTTAAGGCTCTTTTCTTTTGCAATACTAATGGTAATAATAATCAATTGCAATAATAATACTAACCCGACTAGCCAATATAATTGCTCAATCTTTTTTGCAATTTGAGCTCCAGAAATCACTAGGAATGACAGATAATTTCTTGTTTCTTGAACCAAGTGCCTTGTCTTTTCTTGTTAAGAACCTTTCAAAAAGTTATCATAAGTTTTTTCTAATTCATTTGCCAGCTTAAATACACCCAAAAAAAAATTATTTTTTAATTATTTTACTGCTTCCATATTTCAACTTGATTATTTTTATTTTAAAAAATAGTAATTAAACTCGATTTTTCAATAAATGAATGTATTTATGGTTGAATCAACTTGAGTTTAAAGTATCATTCCCCTTTTTATTTTATTTTATTTTATTTTATATCTATGTTGACAATGAGTACCACTTGAGAACTTGGGGAGAAAGATACGAGAGCTGCTTGGGGTTGTTCCTAAGCAACTCAAATGTCGTTATTACATAATGGAGAATTAAACTTAGGTCTCAATTAATGCCTTTTGGAAATCTGCATAATTCAATTAAAGCACCGTCTATGAGATAGATTATTACATATTAATTTCTTTGGACAACATGACAATAATCATGATATATATTATTAAAAATATTAATAGCATTGATACACAACAATTTTGAATTTTAAAGATTTCTTTTACCGTATGGAAGATACTGCCAGATAACATAGAATTAAAGTGTATTTGACCATTGAGAAAAGACACAAATTAAGTCGAGTGTTTCCTACCAATTAACAGTTAAGTCCAAGGATATCTAAAATATATGTAAAATAGTTATCATTTGATTCATTTCACATAATATCATCTACTCGAGCTAGATGCTGTTCTACAAGGATGCTACTGCTGAACCTTTCTCCACATTTATGGGATTCTCTCCTTCATCATAATTCATAAGGCTTTGTTATGTTCATTGATTGGTCTCGGTTGACATTCTCAAAGACGTGACTGACTTCTTTGCAATAACAAAGTGAAGATAATTTCCTGATCAATCTTTTACAAATATAGGGTCATTATGTATATATATATATATATCCAGTAATGATCCAATCAAAAACTTCTCTCTTTTCTTTTTTTTCCTTCTTTCCTTTCGGCTGAAAGATCACTAAAGAAGGGATATGCAAACCCCAGGGTTGACCCCCTAAGGGGGAGGGTTAGAAACTAACGAGTCAATCAGGTCAAGAAAAGGGTTATGATCGGAAGAGTGAACTACAAACCAGAAGTGGTTGAATGTTTTTAATGAAGTGACCACTTTCAAGACTTTATCATTATGCAGGTACAGAGATGTTCAGAAAGGCTTTTGATTCTTTTGTACTTCCTTTACTTGTATGTTTAGCAACCACAATTACAACTTTCGAGACTTTGTTCATGGCCTTGAAAGAAATGCAATATTTCCACTGTATTATTCACCCCATGGAAAAGTAAATTAATGGGTTCTGTCCCCATGTAGTTGTTTTTTCTTCTCTGCCCCCCAAAAACACAAAAAGCTTACAAGGAATCTCACTTTCTTTGAAGCCAAAGCTGACAAGGCAATAGAGTTTGCCACATAAGCTTTAGGATTGTCCAGTAAAAGTGCTACAGAAATGCTAATCATGCGGAGCCCTCCAGCTTATGGGGAAAAACTTATATAAGTTTTCATTAGATTTCCATTAAAAGTTATCATATAAAAATTAATTTTGAAAATAAAAAACTATAAATTAATAGGGTTTCATGAGAAAATAATAATATGTAAAAAAAATTTTAGAACTACTGTATACGCTCAAAATTTGATCAATAGTTATTTAATGGTGAGAATTTTGTCACAATTTTTAGTAAAATACCTTTTTTAAAAAATATCAAAATTTATTAAACTTTTTTCAAATTTCTTACACTTGATCTATGTAATCAGGCCTTTTAATCTATGATTTGGATTTTTAATTATAATTTTTATTTAATTTTTTTTAATAAAAAAACTCACAAATTTAACCTAATCAAATTTCTTAAATCCAAACCCTCAAACTATCATCTTATCACGTTGTGTACATATATTTATATATAAAAATTTTAATAAAAACTTAAATTTACGAAAATCAACCTCAAACTCATAGCTCTTTTTTTTTTAATAGCAAACTCATAGCTCTTACCCTACTTATACATAAATCTCTCACATTTCACATTCTCATGAATTATTATATTCTAACTCCTCATAACTCTTTTACCAGGGTTAACGACTAAAATTTTATTCTGATTTAACTAGAATTCAACAAAGTAGTGTAATTTTTTTTGAAAAGTAACAAAGTATCTTAATTTAACTAACATCTAAGATTATCTCAACGGGGTGTGTGTATATATATAGAGAAACTAGATTAATTCAAGACTATCTCAAAACTACTGCTGTACTTTTCATATTTTTTAACCTCCAAACTTGGTAAAAAGTCAATGTGAATTTACCTTTGTACGTCTCACATATTCAATTACAGTCACTCTTGTCCTCAAGGCTGTTAAATATGCACAATCATGTATCTTTGTCGAATATGAGCTGGGTAAAGATATAGCGTGTGAAAGATCAAAAGCAAAGCAGCTGTGTGCGACCAAATATTGAAAACTTGTTTGCTGTTTTGGGTAGGAAGTGTGCAACATCATTAAAAGAGATGGATTGTGCCTTGGTACTACTGTCCACTACGAACTGGAAAAAACAACTAGACTAGACGTCTAAAAGCTAGCAAATTGTAATTTCGTTAGGAACTAGTTTGATATTTTTACTTGTTTTGCTTTAAATTTTATGGCAAAAAGAGAATAAAGCATACCTTTTTTTTGATCGCATGGCTCGACTGCACAAAAAAAGAGAAATTCCTCTGTTCTTGTATACAAACCCCCTTTTTTTTTTTTAAGAAGGCAAATTTGAATACAAATTCTAAGATAAAAATGGGAATTGATTCATTAAAATCTACCCACTGAAGCCATTGATAACAAGATTGAAATATGATTGCTTATAACTCCCATATGTCACGCCCTGACATCAAAAGGAAAGAAAAAGGAAAATGATAAAGAAGTTGACCGAAGAGCACAGTGACCATCGGCTGCATGCAATGAGGAAGGAAGCAAGCCAGCAAGCAAGCAAAGACCCCATTGCAGAAGCATTTATTAGCTAAAGCGAAAGAGGGTTTAAAGCAGCAATCAACCACTAATGAACCAATCATGAAACTCTGCATTCAAAGAGGACAAAGCGGTCTGCGCTGCAGGGGCCGGCAGGCCCACCTCAAGGTTTTTAGGACCCCCAAACAATGCTTAGCGGGGCCCATCCTTGGAAACAAAAAACAAAAACATAAACATCACTCCCGACAAATTATTTCCAGCCAAAGTTAAAACAACTGTTACCAGAGAATGTCGACCCTCCTTTGGTAGTTAGTACAAACATCTGTCGCTTCACAGCTTGGATTCTCCCTCCTTGGAACCCCAAACAAAACTATCACCCCTCTCATGACACCATGTTAATTTTTTTAATCAGCTGTGAATGTCTATAATTCTTTCTTTTGACTAGAAAATAATAGTAGGAACATAAATAAAGAAGCCATGTAGTGACAAAATTTTGTTCAAGGCAATTACTCTACTTCTGTTCGCTTTCCTGTTAATTTTACAATGATTATATTGAACCAAATCATGTAGAATTTTCTTCTTTTTTATAATTGAAAAAAGGAATTCAAATTATGTTATTTAATTAAAAAATATATATATCAATTAATAAATTAAATATTTAAATATAATCATATAAAATCTTTCACGTGTTTGAATCTCAAATATTGTATTATGTATAATTTATCATAATTTATTTTTATTTTTTTCTCTCTCAATTAAAAATGGGGAAGATATGTTAAAACCGAACTACATATGTATCAATGGAATATGAAATTCCATATAAAAGAAGAAAATTGATCACAGTAAATTAATGCATAGAAAATTGATAATTCGTTGTAAGAATAATTATTTAGTTTAAACATTTCATCTCTATTGTTATTTTAAAAAATAGTATATTATTTAAATCTAAATTTTGTAATCATTCAAATAGATGCCTTGGGTTGAGTAGAATTTAGATTACATGATCTATCTATATTATATTATTATTTCAATTTTATAGTAACATTTTCGAAAGATAATAAATCCTGGAAATGCAATTATGACGTCCATTAAGGATATGGGACAGAAATATGTAAGCAAGTGATTAACTGACACGTGAAGGTTCAAATTTTGATATTGATGGACGTGTCAATCAGACGGTGGTTATTTTGATAGGGGTTAGTATTGCCGGTTTCAGAGGGGGCAGGTAGCCGGACGCGTCAGATGCTTTTCACTTGTCAGTGGACTGGGTCGGACTGGTTACTTCTGGGGAAGGGCTCTCGCTGTTGCCCGGACCACACACACCCCATGTGGTCCCCATTTCTGTCATTTTGCCACGTCACTAACCATGTGGTGACTGTGTCAGTTCAGATGATGATGATATCATACGTAATAGTATCACTGGAGTCCCGAAGACCTTTACCAAGTTCTTTCTTTCCCCCTTCCTTGGGTTTTGGCCAGTTGACCAAGGGCTTTCTCCCAAAAAAGATTCTTCTTCTGGTCTCCAAGCCTAAGCCCAAGGCATCAAGGAATTGGGCATAGAGCCCAAAGACTATCCCATTTGAAACATTGAGATACCTCGAAAGCAGCATTCATCTCTATTCCAGGTCAAATTCATATGTAGAAAAGAGATTGGAACATTAATGAACATTAACCCTCTTAAAGAAAAGTAAAAAAACCACTAAACCAAGTTTGAATTGTTAACAATTTTATTCTTAATGATGAGAAAACTATAACCTAAAAGTAAAGTTTATTCCAGTAGCACATTTCCATTACAGAAGAATCAATCAACATTGAACACAACAGCAGCGGTTTTCACCAGAGGAAGAAACGCACTTGACAGCATCCGGGTTGCGGCCCAAGGCAGCACATGGTTGCCTACACTCTGCTGCCGTGCTGCATGTACCAGCAAAATGGCAGCCTTCCGCATTTCCCTCTTCCTCTTTGCTATCAAATTTGATTGGATCAGTTTCTGCATCACAGAAATTAAACAAAAAAAAAAAGTTAGAAAATGGAATATGAGAAATAGCTGCTTAATAATAGTAAATTTGCCTATGGCCGAGAATACCATGGACATGGAGCTTTGCAACCGAATGGGAAAAAGCCAGGAAACCAACAAGAAGGGCAGCAACCAGATGCTTTGATGAGGCCATTAGTTTTGTTGATTGTGAGAAATCGAAGAGTTGTGCATGGGGTTTATAGCCATAGGAGGCCAGGGGCGTAACTTTTCATTAAATTTGCAATAAATGTCACAAAATCCACCCCTTGCAATGTGAGTGAATCTCATAACTGCTGCTCTACTACGATGGGTTTCTCACATTTCTGACGAGGCCATTTTTATTGCTAGCATGCCTTTTAGGTGGAAATCTTAAGCTTTTTGCTCTCTACTCTCACAGGAGAAGGATGGAATGCAAGTGTCACTTGGTAAGGGTGTCACATTATTTGTCCCACCACGACTAAATTTCTTCTATTAGCAGTAGATTTCATTAATTCTTTAAACTTTAGATTGAAGCAAACGTACTAGCTCTTCTAGTTCTTAAAATCAGTCAATCTCTTCATGTTTTTGATATTTTCAATAGTTTAATTGATCAAATTATTTTATTAAAACATGTGATTTACTCAAATTAATGAGATTATTAAATAAAGATTAAAAAAAGCACGTGATAAAGTTCAATTCATCAGTATTTTTCATTAATTAAGAAAAAAAATTGAAGAAATAAGCTATATTTTTCGAATTATGACCATTTGAAGAAAGGCGATGCCACAATCAAAGATAAAGAGGAGAATCCATTGAAAAAATACCCTACAGTATTAAATGCATAACTTGGTTTATTTTTCCTTTGACTTTCTTAGTCTTGTTTAATAATCACTGTCACATTTTGGAATTTAGTGGCTTTCTCGATAGCTACTGGTTAATCATAGCTGCAACTTGTGCAAGTGGGCTTAAAAATCTTTAATATTTATAATATGCATTATTTTTTAATTCAACTTGGAGATGTTCATAATACCTTTATCTTTTGGTAATATTTTCAATATCTCTTCATCAATGAGCTATTAGAGGAGATTGGCCAAACAAAAAAGAGCTCAAGGAAATGAATGGCAAGCTATTGGCAACACAGGCGCAACGTATACATACCTATTCTAGATGGATTTCGAGTTCCTCCTTTCCATACCACTTTAAAAGGATGTATATGGATTTGTGATTTAAACTCAACAGGGTTACAAGCATGAACTTGGGTGGACAGATATAGCAAATTACTCCACATTTATTAAATTGGAGAATGAGTTTCTTTACCAGTTACCATGAAATGAACAATGATTAATACTTAATTCCTTTCTTGTCTTAACATACATGTATTTTTATTTATTTTTCTGTAAACTGGTCGAGGGGCATTAAACAGCACTTGCAACTTATACAAGTTGAGGGTACAAAATGGGAAAAAATAAAAAATAAAAACCCCTCTCAAACTATTGTTCTTTAGATCCTCCTAACCCTCCTACCAGTCAGTTGTGAGAATTAGGCTTATCCATTTGCACTTCCACGCCTACTTTTTTTTTTTTTTTGGTTTCAGAAATCCTTTTCCTTTTTCATTTTGGGAAGAAAGCAACTTTATTTAAGCTTATGTGATATGAATTGAGATATCATAAAACTAAAAAAGTTGGGAAATTGGAAAAAGTGGGTTTGTTAATTCATGACTTTTTGTTGAGTTCTTGATGTTCATGATTTAATCTAGCACAAAATAACAGCATCTCTCCACCAATCATTTGTTACCCACCAGTTATCACAGGTTAATGTCCCAAGGTTTTACACTTTTGCCCTTCAAAGATTGTTTAACTTGGATGCCCTCAGGAGAGAGAAACCACTTGTCATGTTTAACATGCAGCATGAGGCCAGTTGTGTCAATTCAAAAACTTGCCTTGAAGGTGCTCTGGATTTGTCCTTGGTCCATTTCATTGCCTGACAACTGAACTTGCTTTCCACACCCAAGGGAGAGCAGCAGTTCCGTGTTTATTACTTCAGCAGATTTGTTCTGTTAAAAGTGAGAAAATATATGTCTGCTGTTAATGCAAACTGGGTCTTTGAAAAGGTTAGACTTTTTTCGTTATTCAGATTCTCACTTATGAAGTTTTTCTTTTTTTCTTTTTTTTTTTCATTAATATAGTCAAACATCATGTTTAATCGCTTATTTGATTTTGCTATGTTGTGAATCTTGGGTAAGTTTGAATCAATACTACAGCATTTTTGATGGAGCTAATTCACTTTGGGATGTTAGGAACTTAGAAAATTTCTGTCTTTGGATCTTGTTTTATGAAAACCCTGTTTGGTTGCCGAGGAAGCATCGGGAAAGACATGAAATATAAGTTTTGAAGATCATCATACTCTATGTTTTGTTGGTTTGGATTAAAAAGAATAATCAATGAAGATATGGCAACTAATTAATATCTAACTTTGAAACTTAAATTTCTTCTGTTATTCATAAAATATGATGCTTAAATTTCTAAATTGAATCTTCTTGGTGATATCTAAAATCCACCTAAATGGTTTTTCGTTTCAATAAGAAATAAGACCCATTAAACGTTTTTACAAATAAAATTGATGATGAAGTTACTACCCTTTAACCAGATTTTTCTTGCAGGTGCCTTCCTAGCAATGAACTTTAACTCTTCCCTGTTTAAAATATATGTCTTTCCTAGACACTGAATAGATGTCTCAAGCCCTGATTTTATGCTTTCTCAGATGCACTTCTGTAGAAATAATATAAATAAGAGGAGGATATCATTGATATGTGTTTAGCTATTGAGATTCAGATATGCTGAATTGCTGAGCTGTTGTCTCCAGCTCTGTGGATGTGGAAATGGTTTTACACTTTTACTAATACATATGGGTGGTAGCATAACAGAAAAGGGAGCTGAGAGTGTTTTCATGATAGTTTCCTTTATCTTCTTCTTTTTGAAATTAGTATATATTATCTTATTAGGGGGAGGGGGAACAGGGAAGGGCTGGAAAAGAAAGGAAAGGGGGTAGGCTTCATAGTTCCTTTTGCCTTCTTTTCTAGTGTTCTTCTGTTAACTTTCTCTCAGACAGGCTGTTTGCAAAGATGCCTGTGCACTCTTGCACATTAGTAGGTTGAATCATTAGGTGTAATGAAGCAAATTTGGACAGAGGATTGTTTCATTCTTATACTTTCTCAATTCAAGTCAGTTGCTAATTTTTATTCTTTTTTACTAAACTTCAGTTTGAACATCTCTTTCAGCTGTCTAAAGCATGAATTTCGTATTGCTTCTCCTTTCACATGGACCTAACTGCAGTAGCCGAGCCTTGCAATCTTGGTGACAAGAGTACAAGTGATGTCATTCTACGCTTGAGAAATGATGAAGGAAGACCTGAATGGTTCTCCTCCCACTCCTCCATTCTCATAAAGAAAAGTAGGTTCTTTGCAGATCAGCTGTCTAATCCAGACTCTGGCCCCTGCATTGAAATTCAGTGCCCAGACTCTACTTACGATCATCATGTTAACCTTTTGAGATTATTGTATCTCCCTACTGATTCACTTTTGGACTCCCTGGACTCAGTTAAATCTGCTATTGGTATTCTTCAGTTAGCAGTTGTCTTCCACTGTGAAGACATCACAAATTGCTGCATCCAGTACTTGGAGGCTATTCCTTGGGAGGATAAGGAAGAGGAACAAATTTTAAAAGCAGTCTCGAAACTGGGGCCAATAGCGATGCCCATATTGGCGAGGATCCAACCAGTAGATGTAAGTGCCACCAAAAATGTATTTGTTTCGGCTGTTCGCTTTGCCACGTCAATTGGTGGATCCTGTCCACCCTTTGGAGATGAGCTTAAAACGTCTGCTCAAGAACAAGTGGAATTCATGCTTGGAGGAGATGAGGATACCCCACTAGTTACAGCTGACGATGAAGTAAAAGCAGTGGTGAAAACGGGTCTTTCCCAAATTTGTTCCTCATTTGAAAGGGAGTTGTCTTCCTTGCTTGTTATTTTTGATGTCACTGCTGACACCGTGGAGAATAGAATTTTGCAGAGCCTATCCGATGTTGAGTGGATGTGTAACATACTCCCAAAGATGGACTTAATGAAGGACTTTATTTGTAGTTGGGCTGAAATGTCTGCTAAGGTTTTGGGGGTAGTTGAAGACAAGAAACTCGATAATGTTATGTGGGGTTTGAAGGTGAAGCTTATAGAAGTGACTGGAAAAGTGCTGGACGCAGTTGGGTATGGAAATGTGATCCTCCCTGCACCATATCGGGTGCAGTTGCTAAAGACATGGCTACCCTATATAAGGAAGATAAAACCTCTCCTAGATGCAAACGGCAACAAGGAGACAGATTTTCCTTACAAGATGGATGAAGACCTGTGCCAGAGTATTGAGGGGGCAATTGTATCCTTAGTTCTAGCATTGCCATCTAATGATCAAGCTGATATTCTATCGGACTGGATGAAAACTGAGCAGGTTAGGTATCCTGACTTGAGCGAGGCATTTGAGGTATGGTGTTATAGAACCAAGTCTGCAAAGAGAAGATTGATGGAGGGCTTGGATAGGGTTGGCAATCCCACCATTAGCCTTTGATTTGTACTCTAATATTGTTGTATCATTAATTTATCAAATGAATAGACGGTGGCAATCCCCGATATGCTATTCATGTAATTTTGGCACAATCAAGCTCTACATGATCCTTTTGCCTGTTTTTTTATCCCCTCTTTTCCACGTTGTTTCCAGGCACTTGCTCAGCTGATACTCCCCATATATATTTGGATACAGGGTAACATTAAGAGATCATCAGCCGTGTATTAGGTCGGCATTTGGTGGATCACACCAAACAAATAAGAAAACAAGTCTCATCTTTGCAGTAGCTGTCCGAAAACGAACTGTTGTTGAACATTACTTCCGAATCCGAATTTGGAAATGGATTAATACTTAAATCCTGGTGTGTAGTAAACCCCACAGACAAGCTTGTATATGATACAACTATACAAGCTAATTGAAGTCCCGGATAACTCTATGATTAGATGTGATTCACATGTGACATATTTTTGTAATGCTTCGAGCATAGGAACATTACAACGACTTGTTCTTAAGTTGAAACACTAAAAACCAATTGTCTACCTGAATCATCCAACTCACATTGTTCCCTCCTATGTATACGAACTTTCCTTCGGCGGTAGTCAGACATTATCTGGTTTAGTTGGTAGCCACATCTTACTCTCTCGCAACAAACTCTCAAGTTCAATTCCTTTTTCTTTGTTTTAGCCAATATTTAAAATAGAAATGCTTTGTTTTTTCAAAATTTTAATAGCAGTATTACATATGAATTGATAAATTGATAAAAGTAAAATTGAAAAAGGTTATGGTTATATTAAATTAATTATAAACACCGACTTATTTTCATTGGCGAAAATACTGTACTAAGTTATAAAACATCATCGTACAACAAAAAGAAAGGGCAGAGGGAGCGAGCTTTGAATAGGTAAAACCCAAACACGCCATCAACAACGACAACGGCATCGTACATCTGTCACCGTTGTCGATCAATCCTTGAATCAACATCCGTCAGTTTAAGCAAAAAAAGAAGAAACAAAACAGAGTTGTAATAACAAGAGGAAAGAAGAGAAGAAAAACTAAAGCGAAAGATGTACGTGAGAGCTGTGCCACCGACAGATCTGAACAGGAACACGGAGTGGTTCACGTATCCAGGAGTTTGGAGCACTTATATCTTGATCCTTTTCTTTTCATGGCTCACCGTTTTATCTCTATTCGGTTCCTCTCCTGGAACTGCTTGGACCATTGTTCATCTCTCCCATTTCTTTGTAAGCTCTCTTTTTCTTTAAATTTGATTCATAAAAGTTGGGTTCTTGTTTTTTATTGCATTTGCTGTCTGGGTTTTAATTTGATCGGCTTTTTATTGATGTTTAAGTGAGAAATTTTTTTGATAGGGTTTGGAATGAATTGAGGGTTTGATGATTTCTTGAGACTTTAGCAAGAAAACAAGAAAACAATTTCCTTTCCTTTGTTGGTGGATCAGCTCTGCAATATTCCCTTGACTAGAGATATTTAGCAGGTTCTCTGAATTGCCCCTTTTGGAGAGGAATTGTAGGAAGTTTAAATTTTGAGTTTGTGCTTACTTCTGTTTGGTGGAAGTCTAGTCAATGATTACAACTACTCAAATAATATGTTGATAGTATTAATTGATTCTCTTTCTTGTGTTTGTGAATTAATTATGCATTGTTGCCATCAGTTTCTTGCTCTGTGTAATGCCGATATCCCCATGTCTATTGGAGGTTTAATTAGATAAGGTGAGGATAGGTTTTAGCACCACTGCACTAGCACTTGGATATGTATTGGACTGATATTTTTTATCTCCAGTTGCCAATAGACAAATACTCTTAACAATTATGTCATAAGCCATAGTCTTCTTGGTATCATTAAGGTTAGGCATGCTGCACGAACAAGCAAATAAGCTGGATCATGTTCTCTTTAACAGCATAAAGCTCTCTCTTTTTTTCCCCTCTTTTTTGAATCAAAAGTAGTTAGTGAACTGAATTTTCTATTGAAAATTTTGTGTATGAACTATTTCAAATTGGCTTGAAATGGTATATTCCTAGCTTACTGAACTGCATCTCTACGACAGATGGATCTTGTCCTTTTTCTGTACTAGACTTGCAAGTTGTGTGAGAAAGTCAAGAATAACACCCTATTCATCAAATCAGCATGCTTAATTATCTTGAGTCTTTAAATCTGTTGTTTGTCCACATATTGGGTGGTTGTAAAGGGCTAATAGACCTTTACACTTTTAGATCAATCCCTTGGAGTAAGGGTGTGATTTCTTCCTCCTGAGATTTTTATCAGATAACATCTACGCTATCACAAACTGTTCTCATTTGTCATGATTTGGGTGTTATACTTTTCTAGTTTGCTTGATGGTTTGATGTGAATGAATGAATATCTGAAATTTTTATATCGTTGGAGGGCATGGAGAGTAGCAAATTGAAGGAGCCACACTAAGTAAACTGGTGATTGCCAGTATATGTCAAATGTTTTGGCATGTCCCTTTAAAAGCTGTCATTCCTGCAATTCTTGCTTTAATGCCCATGAACCACAAAATCTCTTCCCTTTCCCTGATCATGCTGGAAATTCATCTAAATTACATATATGCTCCTAGATGTTTTTATCTTTGTGTCGGTCAGACTTCAGTTCTTTGAATTTCTGCTTCCATTTAATGCTAGCTGTTTATAAATATGAAGCAATTGTTAGACCTTTTTAGGAAAGAATAATATCTTGTTTGAGATTTGTTTGTCATTATTATGCCTTAAGATAGACCCAAGAAGTTATTCTGTTTTCACTATAACAATTATAAATGCTCTATAGCATCCCATGTTTATTAACTTTGCTGTCTATATTTCGTAATGAGTGTTGTGCATGGGTTTACATCTTACTTCAGGTCACGTATCACTTCTTTCATTGGAAAAAGGGAACACCATTTGGTGATGACCAAGGAATCTACAACGGTTTGACTTGGTGGGAGCAGATAGACAATGGCAAGCAACTCACTCGCAATAGGAAGTTTTTGACTGTTGTACCTGTTGTGCTGTAAGTATCACTTTCACATGTGCCTGTATTTAAAATTGGAACAAACAATATCAAAATATTTTCAGTTCATGGATGGGGTCATTGCACTAAAAATTACAATGAGGTTTTCCCTTTTAAATTTCATAAAGATAGGAGCACCTACAATTAGATGACTAGCAAGTTATGGTCAACTAATGCAACACCCCTGGATGTCTATTGTTCAAACAATTAGTTTACAAAAGACAGTTTAGGGGACATGCAATGGATTTAGACCTCATCACTGTCCATTCACTAGTGTGATTGTGCATACCTTGGTCATTCATCTTACTTTGCTTTGGGAAGATGAATCACACAATGGGAATAAAATTTCTACCCAGTATAGAGCAAAGTACTTTGTAACATGCACTGGTTTATATGGCGAAAAGCAATTACTACTTCTTTCTATTTGTCATATAACATTTTACAGAAAAGTTTCAAACCGTATGGCACTTTGCTTAGTCAGTTGAATTTGACCTGTATAGCTTTGTAATACACTTATTTCTTGTCTCAGCGTCATTGTTATCTTGACATTTTGAAGTGCTTCTTCCATTGTGCTTTTGAGGAATGACAGTTAACAGTTGATTGAAAATTTTCATGCATCACTCACTAGGCACTACTTTGCTCTTTCATGATGAGTTCAGTGCTTTTCCGCGTATTGAACAAGCTGTTGCTGTTGCCATATTGTTCTATGGTTCTTAATGGAGCTTTAGGACATCGTTACCTTTGATAAGAGCACTATGATGTGATGCAAGACATATTAGAAGAACTTTGTTATTTTCTTTCACCATGATTGGTGTCATCCGTCTCTTACCATACATTTTATTTACCAGGTATCTTATCGCTTCACATACAACAGATTATCAAAACCCGATGCTTTTCTTCAACACACTGGCGGTCTTTGTGCTGGTGGTTGCAAAGTTCCCTAACATGCACAAGGTCCGTATATTTGGAATCAATGCTGATCATTGAATTGCGAAGGAATTAAAGTCTGGTTCTTCCAGTAATGTGTTTCATTATTTTGTCATTCCAGTATAATAGTAATATCCCTGTACAGATAATGAAACTGAAAAGGGCATTCTTATTTCTCTTTAATGAAATGAATACATATACCTCCCCTCCTTTATGCCGGGGAAAAATACATACATTGCACTTTCTTTGCAAGCTAAATTCGGTGGTTTTGATCTTGCCCTGTTGTTATTATCTTAAGCCAGAAATCTCTTCTATTTCCCTCAAACTGCAGAGACCTGTAATTTAAAGAATCCGAGAGAGTAATGAGCATCATTGTTCATTATTGTCCAAGTCTGACTTCAATTCTCCTTGCCTTGAATAAACCGAAGTGCTGCGACAAGTATCTGATCAAAGCGGACAAGGACATGATTTGCTCTCATAACATAACTTCGAGTTAAACCATGGTAGTGTTTTTGACCATTATCATTAACATTCTTTTAGTAGGATCGAGGTGTAACATTCGAATTCAAATTCTCATTCCCTTTCTTTATGTGGAAAAAAGAAAACGAATGGCAAGCTGGTCTTTGATGAGTAGCGGCGGCATCCGATCTTACAGTGGAAGGACATGTACATGTCGGCAGTGGGTCAATGGCCCATGAAGCCTTGAGTGAAATACAATGACTTGAATCGCAAGCTAAATTGGTACACGCAACGCAACCCGTTGATCATATGTCAAAAAGAACCCTGTGGTTTTCGACAACACGGTTCTAAGTTCAGGCCGCTCAGACAAGATAAAGCTACCGGTTTCTTCTTTTTTGATGTATATAGGAAAGGCTGTCGTTTTTCTAATTAAGATTATTTTACTTGAGTCATCATGGAACAATGACGTTTTAGTTGCATTCGATACTTAATTTCAACACATGACTGATGGAATAAGATTATACTATTATTCTATGGAAGCCAAGCAATCCTTTGAAATTTACAATTAAAGAAGATCAGAATATTCATGTAACATTTGGCTACTTCAGGCATGCACTTTATTTATATGAATTCGAATATCCCTTTGTTTTCAGGTGCAAGGAAAATGAGTTTGGGCAAGTGCAAAACATAGGTCGTCCCGCAGGTGGTTGGAGGTCTTATATCAGACCACCTATCTCAGACAACAAAAATACAAGAGTTGTTTCTATAATTTGGTCTTCCCATTTTCCCTATGCTCTTTCCATAACTAGCTTCCTTGCTAAGGAAACATTTGAATCTGGGGCTCCAACCTTGTTGTTAAGGGAAAAATGTATTTGTCATGCATTCTTGTTGTTTAGACGAAAATGTAACGCGGGGTGGCTGGATATTCTGGTTTCCTAACAGGCCGTGGAGAAAGTAAAGTAGGATCAACAGGCCATTAACTTAAAATAATTTTGGCAGAGGGGAAAAAGACTTCCATGATAGGGAGCCTTAAGACATTTGCCATTTGCCAGATATTATGCACACTAAGTGGCTTACAGCAAAGAACAAAATTGAACTAACAAATTAATAAAGGGGTCTAGATCCGGATTGATCAACCATAGTGGGGTGCATTATTCTTTCAGCACACTTGTCGAGGGGAATGTTTGTGGGTCCCCCTTAGAGACCAAAGAAAGGAGGCTGTGTCAGATCTTTCTCAATCTTTCAATTAGAAAAAGGGTAAAGAGAGGGTGGCATGGAAGCAATGATCACTCTCATGGCAAATGGGGCTTATTGTGAGGGAGTCTTCAAAACTGTTTGGATATAGAAAACCAGTAGGTGAACTTTCGGACTGAGGCAAGCTGGTTCTATAGCTTCCAGAATAACACAAACTTTCAGTTACTATCATTCATTCTGGAATTCTTTATTACAAATTAGCAATATGGCATGTGGAAAGATCAGATTTCTTACCTGGCACTTCTCCTCTCTAAGCTCCCCCTCCACTTGCTTTCACGGATAAAGCCGCAAAAAGGGTTTATTTTCTGGGTTGAATGTATCTCTTTGGTGATGATGCCATGTTCTGAAAGCCTGTTATTTTTCAGTACGTATAATCTGAAAGCCTGTCTACAATAGAAAATAAGAGACGGAGAGAATTTAAAGTTCCCATTGATGGAATCAATTGGAGATTCAAGATTATTAACAACAATAATTTGTTTGCTAGATCGAAATTAGAAACTAATGAACAAAGTCTTTAATTTCCAACCAGGGATTAATTCCTTACAAACTTGAACAATATACATTATTTTTTTTTTTTGTACTTGTACCAAGCCAACCAATGACGTATAGGGTTGCCCTTCTGCTCTCTCGGTAGGAGTATATCAACCTGTAATAAAGGGTGTAGGGCATGCCTCTCTCTCCTACATGTTACCCTAAAAAACTTCTGGGCTTAGCTTGATATCTTCTTCTACCATAACACAACAGTATATCCCATGTCACCCTTAGTGAAGCCAACCTAAAAAAAAGCTTCAAATTCCCACCAAAATTAAATAGTAAAAGGAGATAATTAAGGAGAAAAAGGAAGGATTATAGAGAGAAAGAAACCCATGTATTCCTATCTGTTAGTAATGAAGAAATCAAAACAAGTCACCCACCTTAACAAATTAATAAAAAGTTAAAAAGAAGACCCAGGGGAAAGAAAAAGAAAGAGAAAAAAAAAGAAAAGACCCATATTACTTTTCATCTTCTTTACCATGATCCTCCACCTAACATTCCAGGCCAATATCCCGCTGAATCTCCTTGCTCTTTATTTTGCTCAATTTCAGTTGTGCTTGAGACTTGCTTTAGATCTTCAAATGGAAACAAAAGCCTCCCTGTTGTCTCTTGAACTCCTTGGAGACTCCCATAACCACTCCCAAGCCCATCCAGAGAGAAATTTAGCGTTGGTTTAAATTCTTGCATAGGAAACCCAGATGTATAAACTGTGTTTGGATCTGGAACTGACATGGGAAGGAAAGAATTCAACCCCCTAGAAGAGATTCCGGTTAGCAACTCCAAAGCTGAAAGCTGAGATGTAGGAGACGAGGAAGAAGGAATTTGGCTCTTATTGTTCTCTACGCTATTGGGAACTTGAACCAATTCAGAGATACTTCTGTAACCTTGACTGGCTGGGAAAGCTAGGTTGAGATCTTGGCCGTCATGGATCTTAGGGTTTTGAGTAGAAGACTGTGACAAGCTTGGTGGTGTAACCAGATCAGGAAGCTTTTTGGATGATGATGATGATGAAGAAGAAGAAGAAGCTGATCTCTTGTTCTTTCTTGAACCACCTCCAACAGGAATATTTCTGAGGGAACCACCTTCAGTCCAGTACCTTCTACAAGTTTTGCAGAAGTACCTAGGCTGTGTGAGACTGTAGTTGTTGTAGTAGCAGAACTTGGTGTTAGTGGAATTGCACCTGGGACAATTCAAAGCTTGTTCCTTTTGAGGCCTTGCCTTCCTCTCTAAAGCTGCAGGCTTTGGACATGTATTTGTGACTATCTCTTCTATCGGTTTCACCACAATCTCCTAGAAAGACGAACAACATAAAGCAAAAAGAAAGATAAATGAAAAACACACATCAAAAGGGAAGCAATAACTTCAAGATGAAAGAAAGATGATCAGCACGGAAAAAACTGAAGATTAAAAAGAAGATATAACAGACAAACGAAAAAAACCAAACGGGTTAACTGCTTTACACTTTCCAAGATTATAACAGCCTAATAGAAAAGAGAAAAGAAAGGCGAAAAATATTAGAAGAAAAAAAAAAAAGGATCTCCTGACTCCTTTCCTTTATCTCATATGCAAAAGAGAAAGATAAAGTGCAAAATGTTGAAGAACCGATAAAAACTAAATCCAATTGAGTGGGGACTTCAACTATAGCCATGAAAACCATCACCCTTTTTCTTTTGTACAATATGAACACCATCATCTTTTGCAAAGAAAAGTATCCATTAAACAAGCAAAAAAGATAAAACATACAATTGACTCTAAATTATTCCTTTGAAAAGCCAAAAGGGTCTCATAGAGAAACAAGAGGCAGGTGATAGATCTCTCTACCTGTGGCCATTGAGCAGTATCCATGGATGAAACTGAAGAAGAAGGAAAATGAATAGTATCTCTTCAGTATAAGAAAGAAAAGAAGTAAACAGTTTTCAATCGAAACTGGTTTCAAAAGCAGAGGAAAATGAATTGTTTGCTGGTTATTGAGGACGTTCTATGTATGTATCACCTTGCTTTATGGGTTGTGTGCATATTAGAGAGAGAAAGAAAGAAAGAGAGATGGGCTTCTGTGTCAAATACTAAATATATGTTACATGTGTCTTTTATTCCATATAATAACTCCTAAGTGGGAATATTTGTTTCTGCAAATATTATAATAAATTTTTATCTAGTTTTTGTGAATAAAAAATGTGGGTGGTTTATGTGTGTATGCTTACATGTATATATATCCTGTGGTGGATGACCTTCCCCTTTCTGACCAAATCATCTGATTTTTCTCAAAAAATTTTTGTGTCAGCTTGTTCTATACCATAATTCCATCCCTAAAACCCAATTTGCTTCGTTCGTTTTTCTCTTTGACTTGGGTTGACTAGTGTTAGTAGAAAATGGGAAGAAGAAAAGCAAAGGACAAAACGAAAAAAGTTGATGAAAGAAATTATCCATTGAAAAGATCATTAACTGCTGCGTGAGCTTTGATCAGGAGCTAAAGCCATACAAGCCCACAACAGTCACTCACATTTTAATGAATAGTATTTTGAGTGAAGAAAGAGGCAAAAATATTCAACTACAATTTTGGGTCCCAACGCTTTTAAATGCAGATGGTGAATTGGTCCATGGAACGTGTAATGTAATGTAATGTTTATGACACCACTTTAATAATATAAATTTATTCAAGTACGGTGCCCTTTTCTGCCTGGAGCTAGCTAGCATGCACGTAAAGTGACTCAGGATCCACATTCCTCTTGTGCTAATCTTGGTAATGCTAGGTAATGACTTAGCTTGTAGCCAGCCATTTGCTCTCAACTTGTCATCAGCAATTTGCTGCATCACTCCCTGCACATAATCCACCAAGAACAGGGCCAGTATCAAGGCAACCATGTATATACATATGACAAGTTAATGCTATTCTCCAATAGCCGATATCGCATGCTCAGGGCTTGTTGAAAAGACAAAAGAGAAAATTAATGGCGTGTCCTTTGCATAGCTAGGAACCATGCAACAAAGAGAGATTTCCCATTTTCCCTACTTATATACATATTGAACATTGAAGGAAAGTTCTATTGGATTTTCATCTCTTTTCAAAAGAAAAAAACATACAAGAAGTTGACGGCATTATCCCATCTGAGGAAGCAGCTTTGCCCTTTTCTTTTTCTTTCTTTTTTTCTTTTTCTTTTTGGCTTTTCTCTTAGATGAGGATAAATAGAGAACGTACTCTAATGATCATAGAGGAAAACCTTCTCTCAAAAGAATTTTGAGATAATAAAATCAAACTCATTACAAGAAGCAAATAAAAGTAATTTACACGTGAAAAGACTTAGCAAGATTACCTCATTACAACATATAACATGGTTATGATTATGGTTTATTGCCTCTTATTTCTATTATATATTACTACCATATAGTACATATATCCTTTTCGTATACTTTTAATTATTTCCAGCCTTTTCCTTTTTCTTCTCTTTCCGCCATTATTTAACTTCAAATCCATTACTTTTTAAATTGTTCCCTCCACACATTATTCACTATAAACAGTTGGTTAGGTTAGACGAATGTTCTTTTTGTTTTTGTCCAAACTTGCGTTATCTCGAACTACGACAGCAGCTTACTAAGTCGGTCAGTTTGACCTTATCAAACTGTCCGATCTTAAACCGCAGAAGGAGCCAATGACATTAACCAAAAGAAAATCCTTCAAGCCCAACTCTACTATTCACCAAAAAAAAAAAAAAAGGCCTACCCCAAACGCTCCCCTAACCGTTCACATGCAAATCAGTTTATTTCACTTGTCACTTAAGACTACGGTTTTGCTAAAGCTCAAGTCACCAAAAGAAACAAGGGCCACATCTTTAAGCTAATGATTGAACGGTCGTGATTGGCTGGATTCCTTTTGGTCATGATGACTTTGATTGATTAAATGGGACCTCCATCCATCATCGGTTGGGCCACGTGGTTATCTTTTTGAACAAAACTCCTGCAATATCATATCATTACCGTACCTAATTATACCTCCTACTGGCAGGCCCATGGAATACCGCATCACTTGCAGCTATGATTTTTTCATGCACACGTGGTTAACATCCACTGGCCGTGCCTAGATCAATCATAACGTTCTAAGCTGAGGAAGAAAGGGGGGCCCCAAGAGCGAAGACATAATGAGATTGGAGGATCATTTGCTAATTAGGCTTGTTTGGCAAACGGGGCTCCTTGATTATTGCCAACAAATTAATAGTAATTAATCCCATGCATAAATTGACATTGTTGTGCTGCGGAATGTCCACAATAGAAAGATGTGTTTCTGAGTTCTTTTGTCATTTTGGACAGTGAAGGCGATGATTAAGCGACATATAATATACGGCAATTAATGGAATGACCTTCATTCATTGTTAATTTGATTTGTTTCAATCAAAAACTGATTAAGCGAGTTGTTGAGTCATTTGCAGGACTATGCAATAGCCTTCAATCTAGTAAGCAAATTCCGCGACCTGTACTATCATTGGATCCACGGGTGTCATTTCATTCATCATTAAATGCAAAGAATTCATGTTCGCTTTTTAGTTTTTGTAATTTGTAGTGCTTTTCTTTTGTTAAGTGAATTAAAAATATGTGCCAAAAACCTATATAGACGTGATTTTATAAATAGACCTATTAACTTGAACAAATTAATGTAAGGCAAAAACCTCTGACAAGTCCGGGCTTCATTTATGACTACACCCTAATTTCATAAGGTGAGGCCCAAGAGGGGGAAACTCAAAGACTTGTGAACTGTACAAAATCAGGAAGCTTATATTAAAATGCGACCATTGTCATGTGGTACATTTATAGTGCTATATTCCACGTCTCTTTTACCCTTAAATGGAAAAATGTTACAACATACGTCTATTCACATCTATTAAGATGGCAAATTTTTGCTAATATATACTAACTAGTTGCAATATATTTTCTTTATCTCCTTTTAGGTAAAACTTCAAGTTAGATTCCAACGGTTCCTCCATCTTCTTCGAGGCAGCAATGGAGAGCTTGGGTCTTAGCGTCCTAGCCAACTCAATTTGAGTATTTTCTTTGCTTTTCTTTTATCCATTAATAAGTTACAAAGTAGTGATGATAATTAGAAAATTGATAATTAATAATTGTTGATTCAATTAATTAATTTTTTTATTTTGATCATAAAAATTACATTTAAGCATCAGTTCATTGAAGTTATTTTAAATGTAAATTCACAATAAAAAAATGAAAAAGAAATTGTATTTTTATACTCTAATTTAAAAGTGAAAGCATCCCATATTTTATTAAAAATACTTAAAAAATAATAAAGTGTTGAACTAATCGTCATTTGCAATTAATTAAAAATAGTAAATAATCACGCATTTATTATTTGCATTATCCATACTCAAAGTATTCATGAGTACAACATAGCTCTAGTTCTAGTACCTATTTTGTTGTACTATGTAATCTACTCTAGAGTAGTAGTGAATGGCGGCGTATTGAAGCCGTCAGATGTGGGGTATCTCCAATGTAATGGACCCACCAAAACCAGCACCCACCCAAAACCAACGTAAACACCTCTCTTTAATTCGAAAGTCAGAAAATATTTTCTTATTAAAATTTAAAAAAGAAAAGAAAAGAAAAGAAGAGTGCGGCAGGTTGAGAGCTGAGGGCTGCGTTTGTAACGGGAACAAGTGGGCGGTAGTGGTGTTTTTGAGTGGTCCCCATTTCCATGCGCATGCTCCATCAGCTATTCCTACCCAACCAAGCAAAGAATCCAACCACAGCCGTCGGATCAAAAAACCAATCCAAAAACAAAAAAAGAGAAGAGAAAATTCCCCACCCTTGCGCTTCATCATGTCACGTGACTGACACCATATTTGACGTGGACCGCATGTGAGCTAGCTAGTGCATTCCAGGTCATCCATAAATTTATATTGTATCCCAGTATAAAAGTTCTACTACTATACTCTATTCAACTTGACGAGTTTTGTCATACCGTGGCACTATT